CCCTCCCCCGGGTGATCCTTCCCTGCCTTTCTCCGTACCTTCCCGGTGTCTCCTCGTTGGATTTATCGACCGTTAAAGCTGCGCACGCATCTCGAATATCATCTGTTGCTGCCGCCGCCGTTGCCGGAGGAGAATCGATGCCGGCATCTTCGACGTGCTGATCAAAAAGGGACGTTTCATTGGAGGTTTTTTTTCGGCTAAAATGGACGAAAAGGTGTTGTTACTTTTATTGCTGCTGCTGTCTTTACACGCGATGATGCGCCCGCTGCTGTGATTCGATTCATCATGATCCGTCTATGCCGCCGACCCCCCCTCCCTCGTTGATCCACGCCGTAAGTTGAAGAGCCGCGTGAGCATTTCGGCGTGAAGTGATCCAGCGAGACGCGCACGGTGCGGAGAACCCCTCCTGCCCCCACGACCCCCCCCCAAAAAAAAAAACAAATAACGTGGATGTATCGCCGACTCCACGCCACGCCAGCCCCGCAGCTTTGATTTCTCCCACTTGGCACGCAAATGTTGATGATGGAGGACGACGAACTGGACGCTCATCAGGTTGATTCGGATTTCGAGCCGCAAAGCCGGCCTCGCTCGTGCACCTGGCCGCTGCCCTGCCCGGAGGATTTCCACGAGGTCAGCGGGGGGCTCCCGTTGGCCGGCATCAAGGTGGAGCCGGAGGACGTGCCGGCGTGCCGAGCCGGGCTGCTGGCGGGCGGCGCGCCGGGCGAGCTCAAGCATCCGGCCGGCGCCCCGGCACCGGCCGGCGCCGCGCACCCGTGCCTGGACGCCAGCGGACCGCTGCGCAAAGCCAAGTCGTCGCGGAGGAACGCGTGGGGGAACCAGTCGTACGCGGACCTCATCACCCGCGCCATCGAGAGCACCCCGGAGAAGAGGCTGACGCTGTCGCAGATCTACGACTGGATGGTCCGCTTCGTGCCCTATTTCAAGGATAAAGGCGACAGCAACAGCTCGGCCGGATGGAAGGTAAGCCGCCCGCCCGCCACGCACACTTGGGAGCGGATGCGCCCGCACGGTTCGCCAAGCCTTTGTTAGGCGTCCTCCGAGCGAGCAACGCGAGAGGGGGTGTGAGTGGAGCTCACGCGTGGAAGACGCCACGCGTGAACTCGTCCCGGTTCATTCAGGCTGCCAATCATCCTAATAGATCATCGATGGCTGATTGACTTGAGACTGGAGAGTCGCCACTTGCGGCGTGCGTGTAACGAGCCTGGCAAGCGGGTAGCAGTGCGTGAAACATCCGCTTTTATACGACCTGCTCGTCGCTTGAAGTAGAAAAAGTCAATCAGGGCGCCTTAAGTGATTTGTCGTGAGTTGTACATTTGACACTTTTGAATTGAGGACCCGACCCTGTACCACCAATAATAACCCCCAATTTGTAAATGAATGTTCATGGAGGTGCATTCAGAATCACTTTCAGCTTTTTATTTTTTTCTCCAAAACACAGACATTGCTTTCGTGACAAGTCATTGTGCTTGTAGCATTGTACGTTTAGGTGTATCTAAAGATTGCGATAGCGGGGCCTTAGAACACTCACAAAAACACACCTCATTTCTTTGAATGAGTCTGGATGCTGATTGTCAGACAATTTTTTTTTTTGGTCCCTTGTTGGAGAATTTGCACAAATTAAATAAACCAACTTCCAGGAAGAAAAACGTGTCTAGGAATCAAAGGTCTCGATATCAAAGTGCCAAGGGTACCAAGCTACAGTGGTATGTCAGTACTTTTAGGGGTAGGTTCAAGCACATAGACATTTTTGGGGGGCAGGTGCATCTCAAACTGAAAAAAAAATCAATTATAGGCACCCAATGGCAAGATGCTGTGAGAAATGTATTTTTCCTTAACACAATTAAAACATTCAATACAACAACTATTAAAAAGTTTTTTTTAGCCATAAAGGGGAATCCAAAAAAAAAAAAAATCCACACACTTCTGTTTTCGTGGTACACAAAACTGAGATCAAGACAAATCAACAACTTTTTTTCCACTGTAGGTAAACTGTACCCTGTACAACTCAAGTCGGAAAAATGAGAGGGAAAGTTAAAGAAAAAGAAAGAAGCGGAGTAACAGTTGCGTAAGTGCGCACACCCTCTTTTAAATGGGGACATCGCTGTGTTCAGAATTAAACAATAACATTCAAACTCAGATTAACAGGGCCCAGCACACACCTGGCACCATTTCAGGTGCCTGTGATTCACCCTAGTTAAATGAAGCGACCATTGGCCCAGGAACTCCCAAAAATGCCTCTCAAATATCAAAACGTTGGGAGGAAGTGATGAGAGAGTAATCATCATAATTCGGGATGAAGTAAAAAGAAAAAAAGTTTTCCCATCCAGAGCAAAAGAGCTTGAGCACCAGTTGGAGTGTATGTGTGCACGTGCCTGGGTAAATACTCATTATTTTTGTCCCATTTGGCACTTGTGAGATGCCTTTTTGAATAAAGTCTTGACCCCTTCATCAAATACGGTTTGCGCCAACTCATGCCCCTCAAGGTCTCGTCTACCAAAGTGTCGATGGGCACCCATGCAGGACCCAAAAAGCAAACGTAAATGCTTTCAGGCAAGTCGTTTTGTCGTTGAATTTGTAGGGTTGTATTGGCCCTCATGTACGACTTCCCTGCACCTGATGCATTTGGAACATGTCCTCTTTTACCCCGCTAAGGTATACAAACTGTTACCTTGGTGCCCACTAATTAGTCCCATGAGGTCCATTTAGTGCAGACGACACCGAGAGGCCTTTCGACTGTACCTCTCTTTGTGACAGTGATGCACACGTCAAGTTAATGGGGGTGTTTCGCGTATCACCGTTGGAGTAGCTGCTCTTATGTTGGCCTCTTGAAGCGAATGAGAGTCCGCACTTGTAATGGGGCGGGATCACGAGGTCAGCTGCCCACAGTGGGTAAATATTCAAAAGGATGATGAGAACTGAGCACACACACACCGCAGCCACCGCCGTCTATCTGGCCGGGAGCCTAGAATACCCCCCCGCCCTCCCCTTTCCCCCCTTTGCATACATCCCCCTACCCACCCCCTGGACATATGCCCGTGTTATCAGCCAGTGCTTGCCCGGTCGCCCCTCACCCGTGACCGTTTGAGCAGACGAGAGGGAAGGGCCGGCGAAAGATCGCTCACCTTCCCGAGCGGCGATCTCGGGGGCCCTCGCTTCTTGTCGCATTTGCATGTGAATGGAGTCGCCTTTCCGTGGCGATGCGTGAGAAACGTGCGCGGCCAAGGCCGGTCTGTGGGCGCGTTGTCGGGGCTGTTGGCATTCCTGTCAAATACTTGACATGATATCTGGGTTTCGTAGGATATCCTTGGCTATAAAGCGGGATTTAGCGCCGGCCGCCTCCTCTCCTCGCTAATCTCATTATTGAACATGTATTCATATGCCCATTGCTAAATTTATCCCATGGAGCTGTCACGTCGCCCCATTACTACATCTTCTAGGCGTGTCATGCAAACAGTACAATCTTACCGTGTCCATTCATTTCTCTCCCCCCCCCCCCACACCTCCCTCAGAGGGGGGATTTACCTTTTTGGACGAAACTTGTTGTGCGTTGCATAATGGCTAAACCAAGTCACCGCTTGATGGTGGGGACAACACGCACCTGACTGACACTTTAATCCTGCCCCATTAAAGTGAACCGCGCTAAGGCACGTCTCCAGATAGACTTCAGTCCTACTACGCCGTAGGTAACTTCTTGACCCGCACTGGCCCGACTTCTTGAGCTTAAGAGACTTGCTATTTATGTGACGGCAAATGAAGGGGTTGGAAGGGGGTGGTGGCGGGCTATTCCAGTCCATGGTCCAGACAAGGGGCCCGCTGCAGGTAATCATGGCGGGGGGGATTAGCTAAGACATTTAAAGCAGACTGGCCTAAGGCGTGAGTGGCCGGCGCGTGGTCACATGCGGCGGCTAGAGGGTCCAGACAAACAGGAAGCGGAAATGGTTTCACACGGATGCACTGTCAAAAAGAGTCCCGTTTGTCATGCAACGAGCCTAACTTGATATGAAACATCTTGGGATTGTTTTCCATCCATCTTCTTGAAAGAGAAACCCGATGGTTTGCAAGATACTTTTAGTCAGATTGCTTTTGAAAAAGATGGTCATAGCATCAAGAGGCTAATTTGAATAAGTCCGTTTGCCATTGCGTCCGACAATTTCAGCCTTTTATTCGGAATGGGCCATTCTTTTTAGCAGCACTGCGAAAGAGCATTAACCACGAGCAAAACGTTGGCTTCAACATAAACAGATTCTCTTTCTGATGTGGTGGAGAATTTGAAGGGTGGGGGGGGCAGTCGGGGGGGGGGGCAGCACATAATTGTTGGTAAGCTGCTGACGAAATGAAATGAAATGAAGTGCTGTTGCTTGGCTGTTTGCGTGGGAGGCGGCTTGGAGGTTGGATGTCCAACTAAAAGCAAAGCAACCTCTTGGGACTGCGTATCAAACCTGGACTATATGCGGCGGTACTGGGAAAAAAAAAAAATCCTCCTCAAAGGCATAAATTATTCCCGTCGTGAGTCACGGCGGAACAGAGGCGACGGTGGCGGGATCAGAGTGCTAGACCAGGGCTACACCTAGACACCGCCATTAAGCTCCTATAAATACCTGATGGCTTCTGACTTCTTGGAAGGCTGCAGCATCCTTGGGTCACGACTTCCCAATTACCTTCTTACAGGAGGGAGTTTAGGAAGCGCTGTGCACTTTTGAACCCTTCCTACGCCTCCCAGCTGTACCCGTCACCACTGCAGGGGAGATTAATTGGCCCTTTATTGTCGGATGCCCTAAAGTTGAGCGGTAATCCGATCTGCTCTCATGGTTTCTGTGGTGTGTTTACTTCAAGAAAATGTAGGAATACTAACCGCCGAGGTAGTCTGCGTACTAGGGAAAGCTCGCATGGTCTTATTCGCCATATTGTACTGATCAGAAGGACAAAGAGCCATTATGACATTATGAAACACCCAGACCAGTGGCTTTCAAACCAAATAATGAAGTTGTGTGATTTTAAAATGGGCATGCATCCATACGGGGACTGGCACACCAATGAAACAAACATACAGAACCCGTTCTCGTCCTGCCTGTGAGTTTAATTCATTTTGTAACCACATTCTCAACTCAAAACACTCAATTGTAAATCATCTTTCGCCATTGAAATGAATGGAAAGGCCATTAATCCGTTCCAGCCTTCAGGAAAAGCGGATTCGAAAACGGGTGGATGCACGGATGGATAATCTTGTGACATCAGAGTGTTACAGAAGGCACTACAAAATACGAAACCATAATTTCCTCTCCCCACAGGGGGAAAAAAAAAAACCTACCATCAATTCAAATTGTGACCGTATGACTCGGTGAGGGTTTCACCGTAAATCCCTATCGCGGAGTGGCCACCGTTTGCTTTGTGTCTCGATGCAATGGTGGCCTCCTCCACAGGTGCATCTGGAATGCGCGGCGCATGGGAGAGGCACTTGTCAGTTGCAGCCAAGCGTCACGTTGTGCCTTGTTTGTTTGCCTCTTTTGGGGGTTGGGGGTGTTGCGGAGGGAGGGGCTGTCTCCTTCCATAGGCGTGCGCGCTCCGCCAGCGTGATTGGCCTGACAGCGTGTCAGCGCAGAGGACGTTGAGCGCGTCGTTTCTCCCCTCCACTTGTTCAATGGTGGAGATGGCCTGAAGGTACATAGAAGTTCATTTAGGGCGTCAGATCGTGTCGTCAGGGTCGGCGTTGGCCGTTAATGTATATGTCGGCGTAATGATGGAGAAATCTATGTCATTCCCCAGCCCTTCTGTTATGGCGGCGCAGGGCTTTTCCCAACGCTTGGGAGTCGATTGGGGGAGGGGGGGAGGATTGCGCAGCCAGTTGGAAACGCTGACAGGCAGACGCTCAGAAATCCCCCCCCCAAAAAAAAAAAAAAGCAACCTTAGAATTTTATTTTTCTAGCGCAGCGCAAGGCGACCGTAAAAATATATGTCGTGCT